GGGGACAGACCTTATCCATGCCCAGAATGTGAGAAAAGATTTGTGGATTCTTCTGAACTTCGGAGACACCAAAGAAGGCACAGGGGAGAAAAACGTAAGTCTCACAGTGGGGAGAGACCCTATCAGTGCCCAGAATGTGGGAAAAGTTTTTCCAATAAGATATACCAAATTCGACATCAAAGTATTCACACCGGAGAAAGACCCTATCAGTGCCCAGAATGTGAGAAAAGATTTGTCGATTCTTCTGAACTTCGGAGACACCAAAGGACACACACGACAGAAAAGCTGTATAAATGTAAGGATTGTGATAAATGTTTTTCTTTTAAGGAAGCTCTTTTTCGACATCAGAGTATCCATACCGGGGTGAAGCCCTATATGTGCATCGAGTGTGGAAGATTTTTCCGTACAATACAAATCCTCAGAAAACATGAGAATGTTCACAGAGGGGAAAAAAAGTTCAAATGTTTAGACTGTGGGAAAGCATTTAGTTGTCAATCAAGCCTTAGAAGTCACTGCCAAGCCCATATGGGTGAGAAACACCACAAATGCTCAGTGTGTGACAAATCTTTTACCCGGAAAGGTGCACTTTTGAAGCATCAGACAATCCACTTAGAGCTGCAATATAAATGTCCGGAGTGTGAGAAAACTTTTCGTTGCAAATATTCTCTTAGCAAACATGAGAGGCTTCACAAAGGAGAGCAACCGTTCAAATGTGTGCAGAAAAATGAAAAGTGTCCTGAATGTGGGAAGTGTTTTGATCAAAAGTCAAACCTAATTCGACATCAGAGAATTCACACTGGAGAAAAACCCCATCAGTGCTCAGAATGTGGGAAATGTTTTGGCTACAAGGAAAGTCTATTTCGACATCAGAAACTTCACACTGGAGAGAGACCCTATCAATGCCCAGAATGTCAGAAAACATTTGTGCTGTCTGCTGAACTTCGGAAGCATCAGAAGAGGCACACAGGAGAGAGGTCCTGTAAATGTGGGGAGTGTGGGAAAGGTTTTCTCACAGCAACACTGCTTCGGGTACATATGCAGGAGTCACACCTAATTCAATATGAGAAACTTTACACCAGAGAAAGACCCCATCAGTGCTCAGAATGTGGGAAATGTTTTTTTGAAAAGTCACATCTAATGCGACATCAGAAGCTTCACACCGGAGAAAGACCTCATCAGTGCTCAGAATGTGGAAAATGTTTTATTCAAAATTCATACCTAATTCAACATCAGAAACTTCACACCGGGGAAAGACCCCATCAGTGCCCAGAATGTGGGAGATGTTTTACCTATAAGTCACACCTAAATCGACATCAGAAACTTCACACTGGAGACAGACCTTTTCAATGCCCAGAATGTGGGAAACGATTTGTGGAGTCTGCTGAACTTCGGAGGCATCGGAAGGGGCACACAGGAGAGAGACCCTATAAATGTGGGGAGTGTGGGAAAGGTTTTCTCACAGCAACTCTGCTTCGGGTTCATCAGAGAATCCACACGGGGGAGAAGCCATACCTGTGTGTGGAGTGTGGGAAATGTTTTTCCCAGCAACAACACCTTAGAAGGCATCAAAAGGTCCATGTGAGAATGAAGCCATAGAGATGCACATAGTGCGGTAAAGGTTCACTCAAAAGCGAGACACCAGAAAACTCACATTGAAAAAGTCCTAATAGGCCCTGATGGTTAGAGGTTTTTTATAGTTGTTCCACTCTTAGAAGTTATATAAAAGGTCATAAAGGGGACGGGGGGATTAGAAACTCTCAGATCGTGGAAGAGCATTTTCTTATCAACCATCGCTTAAAAATCACACTCTAATCCAAATAGCAAAGATGCA